AAAGGTTTCCAACTGGTGCATTTCAATAGCCAGAGAACATATTTGTCAGCATAAATGACCTTGAATGTCAAAACTCGGAGTCTTTTTGCATTATTTGCATTTAAGATAGGGTGGCATATGAGCCCAAAAAATTCGGGAAGCTGAGCAAGAGACGTACAATTTTCGTCTCAAATCCGTTGTTAGTGTTATTCAATCATAACACTTCTAAATTCAACTATGATTCTAAAGGAAACTAAACAACTTTTTTCTTCATAAAAGCTAAAGAAGAATAGGAACAGCATTTCATCTGGCACAAATAATCCTGACCTTAACATCAGGGGATTTTAGTCTTGTGTAGCTGCCCCTTGGTTTAGTTCAGCAAACCTCATGCCAACCCGCATCGAGTGCTTAAGAAACTTCTCAGCACACCTACGGACACATGTCTCCTCCTGCTTGTCCAAGGATTTACGCCGGAAGTTCTCCACACAATCTGTGAAGCATCTCTCTACCAGTGAATTATACATCCTCAGGCTGCAGTTTGATTTTGGAAAACATCAATAACAAATATGCAATTAGAGCTGCAAATTGTATCAGTTTGACTCAATTCGAATTTGATCCATTTATAATTGCATCAAATATAGATTTACCCCTATCCTTATCCAATAAAATCCAATTTGATTCATATTAAATTTATATTGTACCTGTTAGTACAGATGGTTTGAATGCTGCATTTTTAACAAGTTGTCATTAGGTTCAAGTGTCATATAAATCATTCTCAATTCATTTTGTTCATGAAATACAATATTAGTCATTTTTAATTCATTTTTTATAATAAATAATTTGAGCATTTTTAGTTTAATTCATTTATACTATTCAATATCCAATTGCATTCCAAATTAGATTCAGATCTGATAGAAATCTGATGGATAAGATCCGAATCAAATTCGATTATTAAAAAAAATCAAATTTGGATCTACCTATATCCAATTTGATATGATCTGTTTATAGTCCTATATACAATGCTTTATAAATATCTAGAACGTTCCCCTTAAAATAAAAAGGAAAAGATAAGTTACATAGTGATGACTTATCATTTTTTAACTTTTTTATCCAATAACGGTTAAAAGGATGTGGAGCAAAAGCTCATAACATAATCATCACCTATTAATGCATCTACACAATAATTTCCTTGAGAAAAAAAGAGAGCAAAATATGGGGGAACATCCATATTTTGGCCATATGGATGTCAGAAATTTTCTTACACTTGGGACTTTTTGTTATGGCATTTTCTTTAAAAAAGAAAAATGCTCTTGCTAACTCTAAACTGGAAGCTATAGGAGGTGAACCACAATAATTGACATGAACCAGCCCCACTGTACATCGCACTCGGATAGGGGAAGTCAATATTGAAAAGCATTGTGCATCTCAATGCAAAACAAATTTGCAGTTAGCCACAAAATGGCATCAATGTAGGACCAACAACTCCAACAATACCAATAATATAAGACAACTGCTATGATACCAAACAGATGTAGCCTGCTAAGAAATGATGCAGGGCTTGTTAGCAATTCTAATTGGTTAAAATAGGGTATAGCAAAGACTTGAAGAATAAATCCAAGGACTGGCTAGGTTAGGAAGGGGTCTTGGGGATTTAACTATAAGAACTGCAGTTAGGTAGGGTTCCAGGTATATCTTGAACGAGAGGATAAAAAATTTTACTGTAAAGAAAATCCAACAATTTTGGAAACTATGAGTTCTATGCAAAGTTTTGGAATGAATTTTTCTTAGAAAGGTTAAAGACATGGGAGCTTTTTTTTTTTTTTTGATCATCATGGGAGCATTTTAATTTGAGGGCATTTGAAGATGGTTTGGCACAAAAGGAAAAAAAATAAAGCTAAAATGGGAAAATTGCAAGGATTTTTTATCGAGGGAAATTTTCACGTTTTCAACATGTAAAAATTGAAAAAAAAAAACATTCCAGGATAAATCTAGTCCTTTAGAGATGCCAAACGATCTCTTTTGGAGAATCTGTGAATTGTTGATGGTAGTAATGGCTGCTCACAAATTTAGAGAGGATGCTAAAACAAGAAACTTTCAGATTTTGACATGACATGAAAAAAAAAATATCTGTCACATCAATTTTAGCCCTTTAGATAAAGTCAAATGAAAATTTTTTAAGCTATTAATGGCTTTAGGGGAAAATTAGAGAGAAGATAGATAAATCAAATTCAGAATTGATAGAAGACAGAGAGACAAAGAGGGAGAAAACCTGAAATTACTCAATGGGAAGCCTAATCACCATGGGGTTTACAAGAATCACTAAACACAAGTAAGGGTGCCAATGGACCGGTATTGGATTGGACCCCATCCAGTCCAAAATCAATTTGGACGGATTGGATGGACCAACAAGACATTGGATTGGAGACATTGGATTGGATCAATCTGGTCCAAAATATTTATTAGATTGGATTGGACCTGGTCCATCCGTAATAAATTTATATTGGATTGGGTTGGATTAAGCCAATATCTGGTCCATTGATGTAAGATAATATAGGTGTTAATGAACGGGGTTTGGGTTGAAACCAATCTAAATCAAAAATGAATTTGAACAGATTGAACCGTCCAGACATTGAATTGGACCGGCCCAAAATGGTCCAAAATATTCATTGGTGGATTGGACCTGGTCCATTTATAATGGACTCGCATTGGACTGGATCAGATTGGACCAAATCCAGTCCAATTGACACCCCTAAACATAATTATAATATGTAGAAATATCAACCAAATATTAATCACCATGTTTTTGCAACAATATACATATATATCTAGACTCTCTAGGGTCAGGCAGCCTGCTTCCTAAATTAAGAAAACTGCCACTTTGGAGGCTAAGGAATGAGCTCAGGCGCTTCAAGCAGATTTCTAAAGACATGGTGATTCGAATAAGATGGATTAGGAGATCAGCTAACAGCATGGCTGATGGTCTAGCTAAGCAAAGAGTTCAAAGACAACCTATGTTTTGGGCTATGTTGTAGTTAGTGGGATTTCCTTTGGGCTATCTTTGGGGCTGTGCTGTAATTAGTGGAATTGTCTTTTGGGCTATACTTGGAATTGTGTTGGACTTGGTGGGATTTCCTTTGGACTTCTTGTATGCCCACAATTTCTTGTTGTACATGATTTTTTTTTAAATTTAATGAATCATTTCTGTGTTGCTGATAAAAAAAAATTAAGAAAACTGCCACATACTCCAACACAAAGAAAACTAAATAATTCCTAGACTGCTTAACCAAAGTCTTGGGATAGACCTCTTTTACATACATATAAAAATGACCAAAATATACCTGCTGCCCAAAAGGTAAAAACTACATAAAATTATTGATTAAAAACAACAAAAAAATCAGAGAACCCATATTTCCCTTCTATCTCCTGCATCAAGACATTAAAAACTACCACAAAATAAATCTGAAGCAATCTGCACTTTAATTAAAAGCATTATATTATAGTATTATGTATTTAATGTAACAATGAGATTACATCAATACATCTCATCTTTGAAGAGCAGGAAATTTGATGAAATTTTTCCAGGCTATAAATTCAAATTGGAGGATATTTCAATATCTTCATGCATACCATGCATATGTCGTGTACCACCTCTGGAAAATGAACCAAAAATGGGTGGGACTCTGGGAATCCTGAAAGTCTAACTCAAAGGGTATAGTATTATGTATTTAATGTAACAATGAGATTACATCAATACATCTCATCTTTGAAGAGCAGGAAATTTGATGAAATTTTTCCAGGCTATAAATTCAAATTGGAGGATATTTCAATATCTTCATGCATACCATGCATATGTCGTGTACCACCTCTGGAAAATGAACCAAAAATGGGTGGGACTCTGGGAATCCTGAAAGTCTAACTCAAAGGTCCCCTTGTTAATTTTTTTTTCTTTTACTTATCAAAAAAAAAATATTGCTCACTTTTTCAGGGAATGTGGGCTGTGGAGACTCTGAAATCTGAAATCACAAAAATCATTCAGGGCATCAAATTGGTGGCTCAAAAGGGGTGGAGTAATGTGTATGATGTGGAGGGAGACAGAAAAGAAGTTACTTCATGGCTGAGTTCTCATGGAGATCCACCATAGAAATATTCAGGGGTATGTTCAGGGAAGCCAAATCCTAGGGGGCCAGAACGAACTGGTCATTCTTGTGGGTTCCCAGGTTGGCCAACTCTCTTGCTGACAGCTTAGCTAAGGCAGGAGCTTCTATCCATGGATTGCCATGGGGTTTTACCAAGTCCAGGCTCTGAATTGTCATTTGAAACATTATAGCTTTCAGTTTGTATTGTCAGATGGTAGCAGTTCTTGTTCTATTTGTCTCTATTTCCATGTTTCTTCAACAATTTGGAGACAAGATTTCTGATTATGAATAAAAATGCACCACCAACAAGTTCATGGAACTAGTTAGTTTTATTATTATTATTTTGACAAGTACTAGTTGGTACATTTTCATCTGACATGCTTCTCTAACGCCTACAATTTTATTTCTTAAAGTGGACTGCCCTCACAGCATAGACACAAATGTTTTCATAAATATGCTAAATTAGTGGATTCCACATAATGCCAATCAATAGCTACTTTCCCTCTACTACCATCTACCAACAACACATAAAAAAGGCATTATTACCAGCAAAGTAAAACCAATTAATAAAAATTAAGTAATTGAAAACCCAACAAAATGGTTTAAATTTCAAGCATCTCAAAAGTATCAAAAGAACAAACTTCAAAATAAAATATTAGAACCAGGACTGACATATCAGTACAAGGAAATAAATTAAAGTGCAAATGCAAGAGAACCTGTCACGGATCTGAAGCTGGTCAATCATGGCTGACATTCGCAACTTATCTTCTTCAGGTAGAGAATCCAGGTCTCCAAGCATACTCTTGTCCATTTTCCTTGATCAACAAATTTAGGGTTCTAGGTACACTGGCAGTGGTTTTCACTCGACACAAGCAAGCCTAAAAGATATACAAAATCATTCCAACTAATTTCAGGACTTTCTTTTCATTTAATTGGATGCAATTGGCATGGAAAGATGAAATAAGCCTTGATATCCACACGAAAGTTTATCATAGACTATCATCTGCATTAGCTCCTTCTATGTCCCCAATATAGCAACTTTATCATAGTTTAAATACATATTACGAAAGAAAACTTGGGAGGACTACAATAGAAGAGATGAACAAAAAGAAGTGGCCCCTGACCAAAGAAAAGAGCAAGCATCTCAGAAGAGAAGAAAAAAGAAAACACACACGCACACCCAAAAGCAAAGATCATCATCTTACAAAAAAAAAAACTGATAAGAGACATGCGGATATGACAATTTCTTTAGGCTATGATGTATCCTAGAAGACAACCTGAAGCCTATGATTGGTTCTAGGGTGCATGGAGGCTGCAACCTGACCACGGCATTTAGGAGTGTGCTGCGTGCTGTTTCTCTTTTGGTGAGTGGCACTTTTTTACCATGACAGTAACCTTTAAAAGGAGCTGCTGTATCAGTTGTTATTGCAGTCACCATGTGTGTAGTTGTGCGTTTAGTGGCAGTTTAGACCCTCCATTTGACAGTACAGACAGGGATATCACTGTAGTGAATTGGTGTGATGGTGTCTTATGGCAGAATTGGCGGTTTAGACCCTCTATTTGACAGTACAAACAGGGATAAGAGTAAGGTGCTGGAATTGATGGCTTTACTGCTGTTATATGGTTAAAAGTGTATGAAAGTAGGACTGTGTGCGCTGTGAATGAAGCAAGAAGGTGAAACAAGTGTTTTGTTTCAGTTGTGGAACTGATTTCAGGATAGTTACTTGTGGTTTGTGATGTCCAGAGATATTTTTGCAGCATCTAGAAGTGGAACTAATGAAGTCAAGCTAAGTGTAGTTGTTGGGTATGATTGTTTTTCGGGACAGACGACATATGGCATCTATTAAATTGAATGGAGATAATTGCATACCTTGGTCCTTGAGCAAATTCTGTGGAGGTCTTCCTCAAGTACTTGAAGGACGAGAAGCATTGGCTGGCATTGTTGGGTATGATTAATTGATGCAAGAAAATGCACAAATTATGACATGCATATGGAATAGCATGGAACCAACAATTAGTGTCAATTTTCTGTTCCAAGTTTCAGCTAAAGAAATCTTGGAACATCCTCAGAGGTGGTAGAAATATATCACAAATTATGTGTGGACATTGTGGATGTGAAGGTGATCATGAGAACAAAGGAGTGGACATGGTAGAACTGTAGAAGCAGTTGCAAACAGTGCAGGTGTACTTATTGTGGATTGGGTGACCATATAGATAATTTCTGCTATGATCTTCATCCACCTTCTACTTGGGCAAACTACGTTAATAATCATGGAGATAGATCCACTCTGTAGATTGATTCATCCCCATCGACATTAGCAGGTGTCACTGGCAAGGAGACAATGAGTATCTAATGGAGGAAAATGAGCAGCTCTTTCAATGCATTGGTAACACTGGATTCACAACCCTATGGGCTCCTTGTCTAGCCAAGGCATCAATAGGGGTGTAAGTCGAGTGGGTTGGGCCAGGTTTATGGTCAATCTGGGCCCAACCCTAAATTTTGGGTTAAGGCCCGAGCCCGGACCAAGCCCGATCTTCCCAACCCACACCGTAATTTGATGCACTCTGATTGCGTTCCGGCCTAGGCCGGGCTTGGGTTGGTCAATAAACCAACTCTAAAATTATACATATTTATGTATATACACAAATATGTATGTATATAGGTAAATATGTATACAAATGTATATATACAAATATGTATATATATATATATGTAAATTTTGCATATATATATATATATATATATATATATATATATATATATATATATATGTATGAATATGTATAGTTGGGTCAGGCTCAGGCTACCTAAGGGCTAGGCCCGAGCCGGGCCCAAAAAATAAAAAAGCCCAACTTCTTAGGCCCAAGCCCGGCCCAAGGACCAAAAATCCAAGCCCAACCTGTGTAAAATTTTGGGCTGGGCCCGCCCAAGTTGCACCCCTAGGCACCGACCATTGCGTTGGCACTCTGAGATGTTGAATGGAAGGTTGCATTTAGTTCAGCTGTCATTTATCTAAGTTACCACATGATTATCTATATTTCTAAGTTCCCATTGCGTTATGTCTAAATCATTCCACCACTACTTCTGAATCACCTTCTACCATAAGATACACCTGTAATTTAGGGGTTTTGCCAAATCACTTTAGAATATTGCTGAAGGATACAGTGGTCAGTGTGAGATGTGTCTTCAGGTCAGCAAATGAGCTAGCTGACACTTGGCAAAACAAGAGGTCAATAGGACTGGACTGTTTTAGGTGATACCAGAGAAGAGCAACATAACTGTTTGATCTTTGTGAAATTATATCATGATCATGATCAGGGTGGGGAACCTGCGATGCTTGGCATCATTATACATGTTTTTTTCTGTTAATAAAATTTCTGTTATCCATAGAAAAATCTTGGACCTGAAATTAAAGCTATTTGGTCCATTATAGCTCCTAAATACTAGTCATTTTTTTGATAAATTAAGAAATTTATTAATCACAGAAAATAGGAGATACAAGTGACCCAAGAAGAGGCACGAGGTGCGACCTCTTCAGAAAAGCCAAAAGAAGATTCTTAAAAACAGTTTGAATAAGTTACAAGGTAGTCCAAAACAGACAGTACCGAGTAACCCCTAAATGCTAGTCTTCAGACACAAATATGATTGCCATATCAATCACATTTGGGTTGCACATTTCAACTTCTGGCATACATTCTGCACCCTACACCTTGTGCATTTTTTGTCCTTGCAAAATGTCTTCTTATCATATATTAGCAAAAGTGCAACTCTCATTTTGGCTGTTGGTGCTGGATGGGGCTTGGTAAGTTATCTTTGGTGGTGGAACAGCTGGATTTGTTTTCCAACATCCAGGTCAGCCATCTTGTCCGATGTTGGTGATCATGTGTTTTTTTCTTGTTCTTAGCCAATGGTCCTTCTCAAGGTACCAATTTTTACTAGCCACGAATTCATCCACTTTTTTTCGTTGATAAGTTTTCACCAACTTTATTTGATACAATTAAAACTTGAGGAAAACTAAATTACAAACAAAAGAAGCAAAATACAAAACTTGAAACAGATGTAATTATCTAAATATCTAAAGAACAATATTTCTTGGTCAATAAAAGTGGAATTGTTTAAAGAAAAATAACTGTTAAAAAGTTTATTAATTGCAACTTCTTAACAGATAACAATAAACTAGAACAGTTGTTAATTTTTCTACAGAAAAAGATTCATCAAAAAAATATTCTACAGAATAATGGATTATGGGTATGATTAAATCTCAAACCTTAGTATGAGGTAATGCTAAATATAATGATGGTGGTGTCCCACATCCATGTGAAAAGGAACCAATGAAAATTTGCTACAAATTAATAATCTAGACATGGAAAATGATTGGTTTATACCAAGAAGGAAATGCATGGCAACACATTTTATGATTTTGTTTGCTTTCCTCTCTATAAACAAACCATCCTAGTTTTCGTAGCTAAGCAGAACCCCTCATCCATACCCAAACAATAAAACCAAGAGCCTATTACTGAGAAATAATTTCTCTAAGTGATAATCTCATAAAACCAACTTATATAATTTTAGTTAAGTAGTCCTATTCCTACCCCCTGCACTAATAAAAGCAAGTACTCACTTGACATTTGTAGCTTTTCAAAAGTGCATTTTGGCCTTTGGCACCCTTTCAGATGTCAGATGGACAAAGGTGCCTTTATTTATTTCTTTAAGGGATAATCCTTTTTCATCCATGAAGTTCAGGTGAGAATGAAACATTGAAAAAAAAAAGCACTTGAAGATAAAATATAAACATGGAATGGTAAGACTATTTAGTGCTTTAGGCGAGGGTGTTTTATCTCAACATTAAAATATGGGAATTTTGTTAAAATACTTACTTTGTCAGAGTTCCGTCTCTTCTGTAACAAATTCCCTCTACTGTGGTGGACAAAAGAGATACAAATTATTAGCCTAAGGGGTGGTACAAGTATTTGACTGAAACTGTGAGGGAGGTTGGTTCAGAGTATCACACTTGAATAAAAAAATGCATATCCATAGTTTTTAATCATGGATACTCTTTTAATTTTTTTTTATTTTTCAGTTTGACAAATCCATAGCCATATCAAGCATGAAGAGGCATGGCAAATACAAGGTTAGATATGGGAGTTAGACTGAAACCAATGAAATCTTCAAACATATCGCTGCAGCCAAACGTGGCTTCACAACAACAAAAGTTCTAAATAAAAACAACTATCTTACTAAAAGAGGCCCATCTAGAACCCGAATCCATCACCAATGTTTCGTTAAAAGAAAAAAGTTAAAAAGGAAAATTCACTTGAGAAAATCTGTACTGGTATCAAGTGACAAATTCCAACTTTGTTGTGGAAATTGTGGAGGTGCTTATCAAGTGGGTGGTGTTCAAGTAATGGTTGGTAGGTAGATGCGGTGTTTATCAAAGGCCCATCTAGAATCTCATGTTAGCAACTAACCAAAAAGACATACAAATTGAACATTTGTCTTCATAAATAGTCTTAAAATGTAAACTCGCCCAAGCACATATTAGCAGATTTGAATCATCCACAAAAAAAGCGATTAAAAAATGTATCAAAATCAACCTGCTACTTACTGTTGATTGATGATGTTGAAGAATCAGGTGACACCTACAAAAACCAAATACATAAAGAACTAAGTCAGCAGTAAAAAAAGGAAGAAGGTGTTCAGTGCGCTGTAATTGAGCAATGCCAATACAAGCTACTTGGGTGATAGATAGCTGTCACCCACGGTCTGAGATTTATGCAGTTTTCTAGGTCAGAGAACTGTCACCCACCCACTACACCTTGGGAGCTCGTCTTTAGCAGAGACCACCTGGCGGATGGTCAAACAAGTTAAAAAAAAAAACGCTAGCAATTCAACGGATCAATTGCTGGGGTTGTTCAAAAAATCCAGGTTCAACTCAGGGCGATCCAATGCCAAAAATTCCAGATTGCAAATGGAGTTTGGAAAAAAAAAATCAAAAAACCATTTGGAAAAAAATTCCAGATTGCAAAAAATCCAGGTTCAACTTTTTCGGTTTCGATGTAATGTTCAAAATATCCAGGTTTCAACTCGTCTTTTTCGACCTCATATTACCATGGGGCTAACCAAAAAACTATTTGGAAAAAAAAAATGAAATCATGGAGAAGAATAGCAAAATTCCGTGATCACATATTCATATTAATACATGAAAAAAAACAATAAAAGAGAACTTTTTTTGTCAAAAAAAAAAAAAGATAACATTTTACCTGAAAGCAGAGAGCTTTTTGCGCCGTTGAGCAGAGTGAGATAGAAGAGACCGTTGAGCGAAGAGGAAGAAGAGAATACGGTGGCATTTAGGGCTTTTCTTCGAGCCAGGTTTATGTTTATGGGAAATGACCGAAAAGCCCATGTGCTTACGTGTCAATAAAGCACACGTGTTTGCAATCACCGAGAACCCATCCGTACAATGATTTCAACTTCGGACCACCATAAAACCGAAAAAGTTTTCCGGGTCATGGGTCAAACGATTTGACCGTGTGTCAAAAAATACAATAAAATAATTTTTTATTTATAAAATAAATTATTAAAACCTCCGCTGAAGTATTTTACAATTGCTGACGCTGCGTTTGTTTTAAGTAAGATTTTTGAACCGCCATTGATCCGGATGGTCGGACCGTTCAGCTCGGGAATCCTATAGGCAACTGGTTTCGTTTTTACCTCAAACCTAGTTTTTGGTCAAAAACTGTTAAAAAGTCAACAACCTGTTAACCTAGGCAGTCGAACTGTCGACTCGTTCAATGGTTTTTGACCGTTTTTATTTTTAATTATTTTTTATTTTTTTATTTGTTTGTTAGAACAGGCCATCCGTTCGAACTGGACAGTTGGACTATCGACCCGGAAACCGGTGGCCATAATGGTTCCGTTTCTGGATCATTTTTTAAAACGTTGGTTTTAGGTGTAAATGCAAATCCATGTAAAATTTCATTATTGATTTACATTTGCTCGTATTTATTTTTAGTGTAAATACTGATTAGCGAGGAGCTGACCTCAACTCCCGTTGGTGAGGTCAGCTCCTCGCTAGGCAGCTCCCCCCTTCACCCCTTAGAGGAAACCTCTTTACCTGAAGTTGGGCCATCTTGGCCTAAGGAGCCCGAAGCTCGGGAGGAGGGACCATCCTCCGAAGAGGAGGTCCCATCTTCTTCTCAAGGTTGGGATCCGGATGACTTCAATCCATCTACCATGACCTCGGACAAGCTGTTGTCCTTGGTATCTCGTTACCATCTCCCTGATAGCCTAGTTTTTAGCATTCCTTTAGGTCAGTATCCTTGGGCTCACGATCACCATGAGCTCGCGGTTTTCGAAGAGCAGCTCGTAGTCGGGCTGCGCTTCCCGCTCCATCCCTTTATTATAGAAATAATCAAGTTTTTTGACATCACCATCAACCAACTACACCCGAACTCTATTCGAACCATAATAGGTACTATCTCTCTGTTCCACGAATACAACTGACCTCTGTCCTTAGACGTCTTTAGTTCAATCTGCTCGATCAAAAAGAACTCCGCTTGTTTGCGCGGGGACATCCGACAAAGTTACTACATCTCTCCTCGGCCTGGGTTTAAAATCTTGTTCGGTAGCCCGAACAAAGTACCGACCTGGAAGAGAAGATACTTTTTTGTTCGGAATCCTAAGGGATGGCCCTTCCCGACTCACTGGAGGGTGGCTATCAAAGATCCCGGAGTAAGCTTAGACACGGAGACTAGGGCAGTTGTTAACTCCTGGAGGGACCTCGGCCTGGAGATGAGAGATTTCTTGGCCGAGGAGAAGCTTGTGCGAGCTGGGTTGAGCCCTCTTCACCTCAGTACTTATTTACTTCAAATTTTCTTTAGTTCGTGACTAACATTTTCTTTTCCTCTTGCAGTAGCCATGCCGGAAGTCGACGCTAAGAACCTTTTCAAGAGCTTCCAGAGAAGGAAGAAGAGGAAGGCTTCAAAGAAGTTTCACCGGGAGGCCGGTCCTTCTGCCCCTATTCCATCCGAGGTCGCTGCGCCGGAGCCGATCTCTGCCGAGCTCCCGGAGGAGGAGGTCCGTCCTCAGCCTCCCATTGTAGACCTGGATGAAGACCAGGACGAAGGCGTTTTGCCTCATGAACCGGAGAGCACTCCCGCGCCCGAGCCCCAGCTCCTGAAGGAAAGTATAATGACCCCTCGGCTCGGGCTGCTCAAGAGTAAGGATGTCATTTTTCCTGTCGAGGTCGCGGAGTGAGCTGACATGCCTACAAGTCAGCTCGGAGGCTGGGCTGCCAGCTATTGCATGGTGGTGAGTATTCTTACTTTACACTACGTTTCCTTGTCTGCTTTTTAAGTGTACTTACCTCTGCTTTCTTTGCTTAGGTGAACTCTGCCATTCACCTATTAGTCTACTAGTCTGAGGTCCGCCTGAAGCAAGCTCAGGAAGCCGAGGAGAAGGCGCGAAAACTTTACCGTGAGCTAGACATAGCTCGGGGTGAGGTTCTTCGGGCTAAGAAGGGAGCTCGGAGCCAACAGGAGCTGATCCTGGCACTAATTGAGGAGAAGGGGAAGCTTCAGTGCGAGAACAAGAACCTTGAAGCAATGATCTGAGAGCGCACCGAAATCTTCAAGATCGCCATTCAAGAGGCGTGAGTTGAAGAGAGGGAGCACAACATTGAAAACTTCAAGGAGTCTCCAGAGTTCCACAACCTCCAGGTCGAGTATGGATTGAGCTCTTACTGTTTCGACTTCAAGTTGTGTAAATATCTGATGCGGCAAAAGTTTCCCGAACTGGACCTCAGAGTCGTTTCTATGTCTAACCTTACTCCCGAGGTGGCGAAGGCGGCGAACGAAGAGCTCGGCTCCTCTGAAGAGGAAAGCGACGATGAAGTCCCAGAGGCGGGCCCATCAAGTTGAGAGGATAAGGAGGAGGATCATATGGAGACCGACCTGCCTAGCAGTCCGAATAAATAATTGTTGCCTCTTCTCTTGGACCCTTATGATGTATACCCTAGGCCTTCGAGCTCGGTTTATAATGAAAGTTTTTCCTTTGTACTCAAAATTTTTACATCAATGAAATGAAAACATTTTGACTATTTTTGTGCCAAAATTTCTAAGTATGAGCAACTCCCGAACTGGCGAACTAAAACAAATAGGAGTAGGTATTATCGAAGAAAATTTTTCTCTAAGTGTTGGTTACCCCGAAGTGTCGAATTAATGAGCTGGAGTCTGAGTAAGGGTAACTTATCATTATTGTGAAGGGATGGGATATCCATCACATGGACACCCAAATCTTGCAGAAGGGATGGGGCGAATTTCAAAAATTTTTCCCATCTTTGCAGGGAATCAAATTCCCTATTTCAGAAAACATATTTTCAAGGATCAATCTTGAATTAAGAACCAAATCAGATCTGAACCAAAAGTAGTAGAAGGGAGGATATACCTGATACAGAGAATCAATATCTCCCAATGGAGGTGTTCACGTCCAAGGAATGATCCAAAATCTGCTCCCACTGAAGATGGCGCAGTGTAGGATGGAGCAGAATCAGCAAC